CCCAGTTTTGGCAACATTTGCAGTGTAGACGCTCTCAAAACCTGGGTGTTTTTCACAATAAACGTCACATTTGCAGTGTAGACGCTCTCAAAATGCAGGTTTTGGTGACACAGCATGCCAGTGTAGACAAGGCCTTATTGTGTTAATCCATGGGACTTCAGTTTAAAATTTGCTTTAAAATATCTCATTAGTGTGTTGCTGAAGATGATAAAATCACATCCCTAAAAAATCATAATTTCCCTGCCCCCGGCTACCTTCGGATGCCAGTTTCATAGTACTGCCTGGGTTCCCATGCATCCTAAGGAGGGGCTGCATTGGAGGAATTAAAAACAGGAAAAGGCCTCACAAATCACTAAAGATCCCACTGGGCCTCTGGGAAGAGTTGGGGTGTCGCCTCCATGTCCCCTCCAAATCCAGGTAACTGGATTCTGCCTCACTGGATTCCATCAGCCCTTTCTGGGCACCGCCCATGTTTCCTGCCCTATGCACTGTGGTTCAGTCAGGGGTGACTACTCTCAGTAGTGAGTAGAGCCATTCCGGCTGCCCCCGTTTGATAACTCTTTGAAATCCCTCGAGGGAAAGGCTCTGTATCACTGTAAGGATCTTCCACCCACTCCATATTCTGGAGGTTCAGGGCAAACACAACCCCGACCTGACCCACAACAGAATCAGACTTTGCACATGCAAATCTCAGCTCATGGACTTTTGCGGAGGCAGGGCTAGGTGAGACATCCCGGAGCTGTGCAGCAGCATTGGACGGCTTGTTTAAAAGGGAAGATGCCCAGGAATAATTGTCCTAGGTCACAGGACGTCTGGGAGCTGGAATAACAAGGGGGAGGGATGAGCTCAGGTGGGAAGCTGTGGAAGTCCCCGACGTGGGCCAGCAGGACATGCTGCTAATCAGGACTGAAGGACACCTGGGTGAGGAGAGCTCAGGACTGAAACAGCACACGAGAGAGCCGGGGTCCATGGAAATGAAGGAAAGTGCAAGTTTTCAACACGAACCATGGAGTTTAAGGCCAGCGGGGATGACCAGGCCACTAACACCCACACTCCACACCCAAGCACTGAAATTAGACTGACGTGTGACCATTCACACAAGACCCAACTGGTATGTGAGGCAGGCAGAGAGTGAGCAATACCGAGGTTCACTGGGCCACCACAGGGGCCGGGAAAAGATTAAGTGAGGTCTACTCAGATAATCCCACCCCCCACATGCAGCAGTAGAAGGTGGAACAGCCCTTTTCCCCTCACAAGATCACTGCCAATCTGACCAGAGGGAAATTCCTTCTCGACATCACATATGGGGATGCTGAGTATAGGCGCACCAGCCTGGGAGATGGAAAGCACAGATCCACCTTGGAGCCCTGGCCCTCCCTGCCCATGTTGCATCTCCAACCAAGGCCTCAACTTTTGAGAAACTTTGTGGTGAGCTCACACAGGGCTCTGGGAAGAGGAGAATCGTGACTTTCTCACGGGTCTCTAGGGAGACAAAGCCTCCTTTGTGCAACATGAAACAACCTACAACATTCTTGCCGATCTTCGCCCACGGGTGAGCAACGATGCCGTTATGTGTCTACTACAGACTAGGTCCTACAGATGGCAGTGCGGCAACAGACACTTGAAATAATGGATCTACATCTTCCCAGCGCCCAGGAGATACTGCACAAAAGCTTCCCAGAGCTGAGATGGGCACAAACTGGCACTGCAGAGGCACAGCAGACAAACAACCGTCAGCAGCCCCAGAAAGAACTGCCCGACTGGATCAGAGCATAGGTCCATCTAGCCCAGAATCCCATTTTCCAACAGGGGCCAAGGCCAAGTGCCCCAGAGGGAATGAACAGAACAGGCACTACATGTCGATGTGGCCACCTCATCTCAAAAAAGATGTCTTGGCTTTGGAAAAAGTTCAGCAAAGGGCAACTAAAATGGTTAGTAGTCTGGAACGGGTGCTATATGAGAAGGGATTTAAAAGACTGGGATTTTTCAGCTTAGAAAAGAGGAGACTAAGGGGGGATATGCTAGAGGTCTATACAAATCATGACAGGTATAGAGAAAGTGAATAAGGAAAAGTTAGTTACTTGGTCTCATAACACAAGAACTAGGGGTCACCAGATGAAATTAACAGGGAGCAGGTTTAAAACAAACAAAAGGAAGTATTTCTTCATGCAACACACAGTGAACCTGTGGAACTCCTTGCCGGAGGATGTTGTGAAGACCAGGACTTTAACAGGGTTCAAAAAAGAGCTAGATAAATTCATGGAGGTTAGGTCCATTAATGACTATTAGCCAGGATGTGTAGGAATGGTGTCCCTAGCCTCTGTTTGTCAGAGGCTGGGAATGGGAGACAGAGGAGGGATCACTTGATGATTCCCTGTTCTGTTCACTCCCTCTGGGGCATCGGGCATTGACCACTGTCTGCAGACAGGGCACTGGGCTGGGTGGAGTTTAGGTCTGACTCAGTATGGTTCTTATGTTGTAATTATCAAGTGATACATCCCCTGAATCCATTCCCAGGTTCTGGCAAACAGAGACAGAGGACTCCATTCCTGCATCCTGGACCTATCCTCTATCAATTTAGCTTGTTCTTTTTTGAACCTTGTTATGGTCTCAGCTAAACACTGAGGAGGATGGTAACATCAATGGGAATGAATGAGTAATTCAAAGTCAGTAATGAGTGGGTTTAAAGGTACAAAGGCAGCATGATCTATGGGAAGAAACAAAGGGCTGTGAACCGATGGGTCATTAGCAGCTCTACCAGTGTCTTGACAAGTGACCTTGGGCAAATCTCTTGACTTCAAGTCTCAATTTCCCCATTGGTAAAATAGCATCTGTCTCTCAGGGTATGTCTACACTGCAGGGTTTTTTGGAAAAACAGCCGTTTTTCCGGAAAAACAATACTTACGTCCACACTGCTATTGCGTTCTTTCAACAGAAGGTCGAAAGAATGGAGGGGTTTTTCTGACAGCGGTAAACCTCATTCTATGAGGAAGAAGCCTTTTTCCGAAAAAAGGTGTGTTTGGACACAGAAGAGAGTGTTTTTTCGAAAGGAGAGGCCTCCAGGGAAAAGCACGGGTGCCCTGGTGGCCCCTCTGTCCAAAGTCATCAAACTTAATGCGGGATAGCGTCCAATCAGCAGGGCTGGTCTTACCATGAGGTGAACTGAGGCAGCTGCCTCAGGTGCCAGACTGTGGGGTGGGATGGTGCCACTAGGACCCAGAGAATTGAGACCTGCCCAAGTGAGGGGGCATGGGGGCGTCATTTGAGCTCCCCGCCTCAGATGCCAAAATGTTGTGGGCTGGCCCTGCCAATCAGTGTGGACACTATCTTTCGAAAAAACACATCACTTTTTCGTTACGCTTTTGCTGTGTGGATGCTCTCTTTCGAAATAAGCTTTTCCAGAAGATCTCCTCTGGAAAAATATTCTTCCAAAAGAAGCCTGCAGTCTAGGGCTGTGTTTAGACTACATCTCGCTGTCGACAGAGAGATATAGGTTAGGCCTGTCTAAATTGCTAATGAAGCAGGGATTTAAATATCTCGCACTTCATTAGCATAAACATGGCCACTGCTTTTTTTCGAAATGGAGCTTTTTCGAAAAAAAAACAACCCGGCAGTCTAGACGCGGATCTTTTGAAAATACAACCCTTTTTTGAAAGATCCCTTATCCCTCCTAAAATGTGGTTTACAGGATCTTTTGAAAAAGGGTTGTATTTTCGAAAGATCCGCTTCTAGACTGCCATTTTGGGGTTTTTTTAGAAAAAAAGTGGCTGCCATGTTTATGCGAATGAAGCATGAGATATTTAAATCTCCGCTTCATTAGCAATTTTGACATTCCTAATCTACATCTCTCTGTCGACAGAGAGGTGTAGTCTAGACGTATCCTAGATGTAGCCTCAGGGCTGTTAGTGTACTTGGTTAACCCTGGAAAAAAAAAAAAAAGCATGACGTGAGCGCAAAATATCAGGAGGTTGCAGATGTCACAAACCCACCAGCTCCCGAGAAGGATGGAGGAGCCCCCTCTGTCCAAGGTTTGGCTACACAGCCAAAATGGGCTGCATCCTCCACTCCTCTTAGAGCCAGAGAGCATGCACGCCTTGCTGGATCCACTTCTAACCTAGGCAGCAGATGACTGGAGGCTGAGGTAAGAAACCAGAGTCCGTTATACACAGCGGAAAGCAAAATGCTTTCACTGGCCTGTGCAACTTCATTAACCACAGGAGGAAAAGCTGCTCGCCTGTGATGGTTTGAGCACCTCACTCCTGGTTCAGAATTCACACTTCCCTCCCCCGCTTCAGCAGGCAGCGGCTTCATAAATTTCAGCCAGCTTCCATCAAATGTATCCTGTGGGGGGGCCCAGTTCCTCTGTCACAGGAGGGGGTGGGTCGCAGATGCAGCTGTGTGGTTTTTGTATGCTTTGGCTCCGCCGTGATGAGGCATGTCTGTGGGACTGGTGAGAGACTGCGTCCACAACCCCACGGACTTTTTGTAAAGAAATAACTATAACATGGGGTTTGCCCATGAAAGCTCATGATACTATACAGTTATATTTTTTGGTAGTCTCAAAGGCTACATCTAGACTACACCTCTCTGTCGACAGAGAGATGTAGATTAGGAATGTCAAAATTGCTAATGAAGCGGAGATTTAAATATCTCATGCTTCATTCGCATAAACATGGCAGCCACTTTTTTTCTAAATGGGGAAAAAAACAGCAGTCTAGACATGGATCTGTCAAAAATAAACCCTTTTTTGACAGATCCTGTATTCCTCAAAAAATGAAGTTTACAGGATCCATCAAAAAAGGGTTTATTTTCAACAGATCCGCCTCTAGACGGCCGGGTTTGGGGTTTTTTCGAAAAAACTCCATTTTGAAAAAAAGCGGGGGCAATGTTTATGCTAATGAGGCACAGGATATTTAAATCCCGGCTTCATTAGCAATTTCGATGTGCCTAATCTACATCTCTCTGTCGACAGAGAGTTGTAGTCTAGACACACCCTAAGGTGCCACAGGACTACTTGTTGTTTTTCAAAATAAACCACATTTCTAGATAAACCAAGGACAGATTAATTGGGTCTTTAAGTGCTTGGATGCAGAACATCTGGTTTCTATTCTTTGCTCTGATATTGACTTGCTGTGTGAGTTGGGGTTTGTCAACTAAGCCAGGATCCTCAAAGGTCAGCTCCTCTCATTGGGTTCAGTGGGACGTCAGGGTCTTGTCTGGAATTTAACTTCTTTGTTATGCCTCAGTTTATCCATCTGTGGAAAGCTTAACAAGGTTTGTCAAATGCTGTGGGAATCCATGGATGAGAAATGCTAGAGCTGTGCAATTTATTATGTTAAAGCTTGGAGACCATTTTCAAAGTTTATTTCTAGAACAAGTGTACATTACCTGGGAACCCTTCCTAATTGCTACCAATAATATTGTGCCTCTTCCTTCTCTAGGTAAACAGATGACGGTGACAGCGGTTTTGAGTCTTCCCTTAATATTCCAGGTAAGAAGTTTAAAAACAAAAGATGGCCTGGTTAAAATCTAGCTGCATTCATACACTGAAGACAGAGCAGAAGGTGCAGGTAACTTTGATAGACAAAAGTGATTCTGGTAGAAACTACATGGCCCCTAAAACAAAGTGGGGACAATTCACGGAACAACTCTCTGAATTATTACAGAGAGAGAGAGAGAGAGAGACAGACAGACAGACAGAGAATGCAAAGTGACCATTAAGATTACATTTCTATCACCATTAAGGTTGTGATTTCCAGAAGTGTTTTCATACCGACAGCCTTGCTCCCATTTTTGGCTCTCAGCAAGCAGCCAGGTTCCCCACATGTTGGGTAGTGAGCTCTTTGGAAAAATCTGTTCATAGCTACCTGACACTGCAGCCTTTGCTCCTGTGAGAAAGGGCTGCAGGATTGGGGCACATTGGAAGAAGAGGAAAATTCTTCCTCTGCCATGAATCCTCCTTCATTCTCTTCCCTAGGCGTGGGAAGTTGGCGTGTGGAGAGTGCTGCAGCACCCCCAGGTTTTGCACCTGAGAGCTGGCCCCATGGATGGTTCCTCCAGCCCCAGGTCCTGGCCTCTGGTCAGCCCCCACAGGGTTGCATGTGCTTTGCCAAGCCCCCCAAGGTCCTGCTGCCTGCCAGCCCCCGAGGCTTTGTGAGTTCCCCAAGGTTTGACTGGCCACGTGAGTTCCACTGGCCATCGGGATTCCACTGCCCACTGGCCCTGCTGTGGGATCTGCAGCCCACCACCCCCTTTATCCACCACTGGCTAGGGCTCTACAGCTGCCCCCAGCCATGGCCGCAGCCAGGAACAGTGAGTGATGCCCACTGTCCCAGACTAGACAGACCAGACACTGTTTACAGCCTGGGAGAGTCGGCAACATGATCTCAACAGGTCTAAAGAGGGGTACGACTCAGCACCCCCACCCCCAAAATAGTTCCAGCGCCATTGTTCTCTTCCTCCTCCAGTTCAGAGTAAAACGAGAGCTGGAGAAAGGAAACCCATAAGAAGAGACCCAGGCGTTGCTGACCTGTCCGTTCTGAACTGTGTGCCAAGAGCAGCTTCCACGCATGGCTGTACCCTCGGGAGTGCCCCCTCCTGCCCTAGCACGAGCCTGCAAGGGGCTCTGCAAAACAAGAAAGGGTTTGCGGTGGGCTTCTTTCCCCTTTCACTTCAGGTGGCGCGGGTTCAGGTGCATGCAGGATGTGGTGGAAGCCAAGCGGGGACGCGACGAAGAGCAAGCGTGCAAAGATGCAGGGTGATAAGGCAGGCAGATGCCACCCAGAGGGGAAGCCTTTCATCTCTGCACAGAGCGAAAGGGAGGGGAGGCAGGGAGAGAGAGGGACAGAGAAAAGCGGGTTCAGGCAGGCATCACAAGCTCACGCTGCTCTCCAGGCTGCTGTGGGCGGGGAAGTTGAGTGAAAAGCAGCAGGGGACTCTGTGAGTCGCCACTCACTTCCTGGCAGCTTCACTCTCTGGATGTTTGTCTCGGCTGCAGTGATCCCCTTATTGTTTTATTACAGAAAGTCATTGGGGGGCAGTCAGTCATGTGATCCCCCACGGAGCCTGTCCACAACCACACCCAAGTTCTTCCATTCTGCTGCTCCACAGACCCATTCCTAGTCCGGATACCAAGGCAGGGGGCTGTTTTATGCAAGTTGGGGAGGCCACATCTGGAGTACTGCGGCCAGTTCTGGGCCCCCCATTACAGAGAGGATGTAGACGTGTTGGAGAGAGTCCAGCGGAGGGCAACCAAAATGATGAGGGGGCTGGAGCACGTGGCTTATGAGGAGAGGGCTGAGGGACTTGGGCTTGTTTAGTCTGCAGAAGCGAAGAGCGAGGGGATTTGATAGCAGCCTTCAACTACCTGAAGGGAGGTTCCAAAGAGGCTGTTCTCAGTGGTGGCAGATGGCAGAACGAGGAGCAATGGGCTCAAGTTGCAGAGGGGGAGGTCTAGGTTGGACATTAGGAACAGCTATTTCCCTAGGAGGGTGGGGAAGCACTGGGATGGGTTCCCTAGGGAGGTGGGGGAATCTCCATCCCTAGCTTGATAAAGCCCTGGCTGGGATGATTTAGTTGGGATTAGCCCTTCTTTGGGGTTGAACTTTGACCTCCGGAGGTCTCTTCCAGCCCTAAGATTCTATGATTCTAAGTTTTCTGGCCTGTTTTACCCGGGGGGTGGGGGGGGGTCTGACTAGACTGGGTCCCTCTTGCTTTGGGATATGCAAATCTAGGAGAGCCAGAAAGCAGCTAAGGACATCTGGGCTTTCCCCACCATTTTGGTGTTGCCTGCTCTCACCGTTCTAGATCTCACACTGCTTGATGGCTTTTCTTAGAGCCCTGTTCCCCGGCCAGGGGGGAATCCGGAAAGCACGACAGCATTCGTTGTGCAAACGGGCAATGCTTGTAGGACTCCGGGCTGCCAGGCAAAGCTTGAAAACATGGCCCGTCAGGGGGCCAAACCATGGGTGGAGGGTATAAGAGGCAGGGGAAGGCAATGCCTTCCCAAACTGCCCAGCTGACCCCCCCCCCCCACCCCACATTCAGCACAGCTCCTCCTCTGAGGCTGCCTGCATTTCAGCCTCACGCAGGCTGGGGCCAAGCACCACCTGTGTTCCAGGGCCGGGGAACCACCCACTACACAGCCAGGGGACCACTTGTATTTGGGGGGGGACACACACTGCCTGCCCTCCCCAGGGTCAGGGAAGGCTGGGACTGCACTACCTGCTGTCTCTCATCCCTGGGCTAAAGCCCCTACAGTGGAGGAAGGCTTAGCTGCCATGGGAATTCTGGGTGGCAGGTGCAGGGCCTCAGGTGACAGGGGTGGAGCGCTTGCTTCCCTCCTGTTCTAGCATCACTCACCACCCATGCCCCAAAATCTAGAAGTCAACTGGGACCCTTAGTTTGGAAAAAAAAAATATTTAGGCCAATTTCAAGACTTTGTGGGCAGAGACTGCCTCAAATTTTGAAGCCTTGTGACTGGCAATACCTATCCTGTCTACATTCCATAGCCGTGACGTGACAAGGGGGCATTACCATGTGGGTGTATTTTGTAATTGAATCACTGTGCAAGCTAGCGTTTGTACAGCGCACTCCGTTTTAGTGGGATGGGCTATTCTGTGAGAAGGCTAGTCCTTCAAAGCACACTTGCAACCCCAGTTTAATTTAAAACAAAAAGGACAGCAAAATATTAGTACATTGGAGACCGCAGCGTTACAAAAAAATCTAGGCCGCGGCACTGAGTGAATGAGCAGTGGGCAATGCCAGTTGGACCCTCTCATCCTGAATATCTATAAGGAATCCAACTCCTTTGTCCAGCTTTAGCATCCAGCTGTTTTCTTGGTCAATGGAAGCTTTGGCCAACTTGTTTGGGCTAGTGTCACCCCTCAGACCTTAGTGCAAATTCACCCTGTGCAAGCAAGATTTCTGCTCCCCAGAGCATGACCAGTGGTGCAGAGACCACACAGATGTTAGCAATGGACTGCCTTCAGAGGATGCTCCTCTAGGGGTAGGGGGTTCAACTCGATGACCTCCTGAGGTCTCTTCCAACCCCAGGATTCTATGATGCGGAGGAAGACACACATCTGCAACTGATTCAGGCCTCTTGGCTCTAGCACACCAGGCTAGAAGCCTCACCGAATCGGTTTGGCTCTGGCAGTAATTAGCTGCTTCTCCTCCACCCTCTTGCCTGTCAATGAAGTGTTAACGCCGACCAAAGTTTGATCCTAAATTTCAGTGTTTAGGGACCTGTCAAGGTTCGTTCTAATTTCATCCAAAATTATATCCCTTGGGGGAGTCTCTGGGGGACATTTTGAGAACGGGGATGTTGACATTTCCTGCCTAGACTCACTTGGATCATTCCACATGTAGGCTCTCTTGCCTACAGAATCATTTGCAGTGGTTCACACCAGAACATGTTGCTGCAAGGTTCATGCCACCATTGGGGTTTTTTTCCCCAGACAGAGAGCGGTTTTTGAACCTTTTGGGGATCCTTAGTGATGAAACCGCTAAATGAGCGTGCTTGCTTGCTGTACCTCCTGCAATCACTCTCGTTTAGCAGTTTCAGCACTAAGAACCCCCCAAAAGTGCACAAGCCAATATGTAATTTTAATTGTACGCATTTAGGGTTGTGCCTAGGGACCCCACCCTGGATCCTGGCCCCATATGTAAAAACCAGCAAGAACAAGAAGCAATGGGATTAAGTCACATAAGGGAGGTTTAGGCTGGACATTAGGAAAAACTTTCTAACTGTCAGGGTGGTTAAACACTAGTATAAATTTCCTAGGGAAGTTCAGGAAACTCCATCACTGAAGATATTTAAGATCAGGTTAGATAAATATCTATCATGATGCTTGGTCCTGCTATGAGGGCAGGGGTCTGGACTTGATGACCTCTCAAGGTCCCTTCTAGTTCTAATACTATGATTCTACCAGTCAATGATTAAATGGCACTGCTCTCTCGGTTCCATGAAAAGGCAGAAACTTCCTTGTGACCAAAGCTGGTCAGGAAAGGGTTTTGTTCCCACAAAATGGTCTCAATGAAGAGGAAACTGTTTTCTTCACAAGTTTTCCAAAAAAACCCTTAATTGAACATTGAAATTTTTCTTTTTCTTTTTTTTTTTTTTAAACCTGACAAATGTTCAGCCAATAAGTATGACATTTTTTCCCCCGAGGTTTCCGGTTTTCCCATGGAGAGATGGAACATGTTAGTGAGGTTCCAGCATTTCCGACAGAATTTCCATTTTTCATCCAAATAAATGGAATGAAAAGCCCTGACCATCTCTGCTCACGATGCATGCCAGGCTTGGCGGGGATGTGGGATGTCTCTGCTTTTGGAGGCTTGGTGGTTTTGCTCGCTTTATGTTCCCCGTTCAGACCTCGCTTTTGCAGTGAGTTATTTATGACAGATCTGCCTCATTGCAGGGTAAGGCCTTGAGCATGCTTGTTTCCTTCCCTTTCTAGTTCTGCACAGGCAACAATGTCACCGACGACTATGACTCCAACACCACCGTCGATTACAATATGTTTGAGAGTGTCTGCGAGAAGTTTGAGGTCCGGAGCTTCCGCGCTGCATTCCTCCCAGCTATGTACTCACTCATCTGCTTCATAGGACTTCTGGGGAACGGGCTGGTGATGCTGACCTACGTGTACTTCAAGAGGCGTTCTGCACAGGCAACAATGTCACCGACGACTATGACTCCAACACCACCGTCGATTACAATATGTTTGAGAGTGTCTGCGAGAAGTTTGAGGTCCGGAGCTTCCGCGCTGCATTCCTCCCAGCTATGTACTCACTCATCTGCTTCATAGGACTTCTGGGGAACGGGCTGGTGATGCTGACCTACGTGTACTTCAAGAGGCTTAAGAC